TATTCATCGTATTGGGTAGAATGAAGTAATAATCACAGTATTATTATCTTTAAGAAATTTATGTAAATATCCTGACTCGCGTTTGATCTTTTTTATTAGGATAGTTTTAGTAAACAAAGATAGTTTTCAAAAATTAAACTTTTCTGAATTTATACAATTTAAACTAATTTGAAAACTTATTGAAATGAGGTGTTCCAAGTTTCAGGTGAATTGGAATAGATTAATCTTTGACAAAAAAGGCCTAAAGTTTAAAACCTCAATAATTTTAAATAACCCTACCATTTTCATTGTTTTCTTTAAAATAGTATATTATTTAAAGTGTTCACAAAACAATTTTAAAATAATATTTTAAAAAAATTTATCCTAATAATTTTTTTTAGAAGTTTATTATTTATTAAGAAAACACTTATATAAATACTTATATTGTTTAACTTACAAAATAATAGAAATGTCAATGATAATTTTTTTATTCGTGGTAATTATCATGACTATTTATTAATAATTAACTTTAATTAAACCTCCAAGTTGTGAAAATTATCTACAAAAATATCTATTAAGACTTGTATTGCTCAAGTAAAAGATAAAGTATTAAGTACTTTATAAAGTATTAAGTATTTATTGATATTATTTGTCCAAACTAAATATTTTTAACAGTAGTAAATTACCGTACAACATGTATTTTTTTTTTAATATGTATCTTTGTTAAACTGAATTCACTTAAAGCTCTTGATTATTAATAAAAGAGATGAGTGTCTTTTAGCAGAAAGTGTGTATACTAAACAGTGTCAAACAGTATATAATATACTTCTTCGATTTAAATTCTGAAATTTTTACCAGACCTACCCAGAGACATTCTAAAGATACCTTGAAAATGTCATTTATTTGTTCATTTTTGACCGAGTTATAAGCTTTTTTTTTTTAAGTCCGTGCATTTAATTTTTAGTAGGATATTATTTTGGATTGCGCATGTCAATTGTGTTTAAATATTGTACAAGTATACAAGTGTACTAATAATACGGTATTTAAAGATACATTTGGAGTAAATATTTTAGAATTATATTATTAGGTAATTTATTTATTTTTTTATTATTTCATGTATCTAATAAAAAATATTGAATAGGATATATAAAAAAAGTAAGTATTATATGATAGAAAAATTCATTTATTATTATTTTTATTTCCTTCAACTTTATTTCTCTTATAACAAATTTTTTAGTATTATAGAATGCCTTACCATACCAACAATCTTGTTCTTTGTAGTAGGACATTTTCCTACAGTTTTTACGTTAAATGTTAATTAAAATTTATATTTATGTATTAGATTCTAAAACAACTTTATATGTGTGGTCTTTTATTTGAAATTCTATATTATAGTATTCATTTCAACCTATTACCATTAACTTCATAACACAATTTTATTAATGTTTATGATACCAAAAATAGTGTTAAAATTGAAATATTATTAAAATATTGTGATGATTTTAGTAAAAAAATGTAAAATTAATACCCTATACATTTCACTATTTATGATTTTTGAATTTTACTCATTTTATTAATTAAATGACTACTATATTTTTGTTAAACTGTAATTGGAGTAATACTTTTCCTGCACAACACTTATCGTGCCCGATGTAGCCGGGTACTCCTTCTGGAATCAATGCCTACCTGAAAGAGTAGCCCAAAAAACTTAATGCACCGTAAGTCCATAAGGACCGCAGGGCACCGGGTCTGGGGAAGAGCCTCAACTAGGCACGGCCTATTTATTCTTATAATTGATTCTGTCTGTTTTTGCCAAAATAAAATATTGTTACTAAATATTGTTTTAATAAATTATAAAAAAATTATTTTTCATAAATGTGATTTAATGAATTTTGCTGCTTTAGCTACACTGAGAGTTCTTTCACAAATAAATATTATTATATTTCTAATATATTAATGAGTTGTTATGGGCAAAATTGATTTGTCTATTGTCAACAACCACCGATAATTAAGAGTTCAGTTATCTTCTTTTTGTACATAAAATAACATATTAACGCTTATACTGCAACAGGGCGTATATCACAAGTTGACAAAATTAAATTTTTATACATAATGATATACTAAGTATTTCTGGGCATTTTTTATTATATACTTTTTTTAACGACACTTAGTTTCATTGTATGTTATAAAAGTAAAATAGCCTTTTGTGTTAAAATATAAGTAATTCAAATTTGTTTTTTAATCATCCTGAAAACCTGTAAATACGTATTGCTGTAGTATAAACGACGATACAGATGATTTGTTAAATATTAGTAATACATGCATGTATTTGTTATATATAAAATAATTAAATTTTATTTAACCCAGCTTGATTTTCTTTTGTAAGAAATATATTATAGTGTATTATACGTTCAGTATAGCATATTAAATTAGTTTGTTATATTTGTACACAAGTATATTTTACAGTGTGCCGAAATAATCGTGCTGCGCTCTCATTTCGCACATTATGAATATACTTTTGCAAAACTACACTCCGCATAAACTCCCCTGGAGAAACAAAGAAGCTGAAATGCTGGAGAAGAAGTATTATATAATTGAGTTAACGTTACACCAAATATTTATTTTTTTTCATTTACTTATTAATTATGATATATATGTTTTTCTTAACACATCGATACACTTACGATTTTTATTTGCATAATAGCCTCGTAAATAAAGCAATACTTTTTAATATACACACCAATAAACTTTTTAAGATGTATTATGTGTTGACATATTTTCTGAAATATATTGAAAGTAAATTTTACACTATCACTTATTAAAATGCATGCCAGTAGTATATGAAAAATATTTAATACTTTTGGAAAAATAAAAGTATTTGATTAAAAAAATAACGGTATCATAGTAGTGGGTGCCGTGGCATATACCTCTCCATAGAGGTGATTCCAAATAGCAGTTTTTGCAACATATCTTTTGATAATTATCGGAAAATACTGCGTCCTTTAAACATATATTAAATTAAATCTTATATTACATATATGTAAAAAAAAATTGTTTCCCTATGCAATTATATATTCAATTACAATCAATATTTCTAAAAATACGATTTTTACTTTATAAAGATTAGGCTGTTTAAAAATAAAAAGTTATAGCAATTTTATAGATACAAATTTTTAACGTTTCTTAAAATAGTTATTTTAATTACTGTCATATATCCACTATACTTTTCTCTGTGCTACTATTTCTTTTTACGTTAAAATTATTGGTCTTGAAAATACAAGTACATAATTCCAAATTTTCAATTATTTAAGACTATATTAATAATATGTTAATGGTTAATTAATTATTTTTTTAGGTTAAATAATTATTATAAAAAATATTCACAGTATAGTTAGTAAACTAATATGCCTAAGTAAATAGTTTGTTAAAAATTATAGAAAATTCATTGTTCAAAATACAAAAATTATTTGAACAAATAAAATATATTATATTTTTTTCAAATAATAATAGATAACAATTATAAACACTTAAGTACTAAAAAAAAAACCCAGCACAGGGGGATCGCGGCACAGTGATAACGTTGCATAGTTAGGTCAAGTATAATGATTTCTAACAATGATTAAAATCACAATCATAAGTAACGCTTTGATAAAAATCTATAAGTAAAATTTAATTTTAAAAAATTGGTGGATTATTCCAAAAGCAAAATTGACTCCTATTTCCTTTATTATTCCTAATTAGTAGTTTTATGATTTTTAAGTATAATATATGAATATATATATATATCTATTATAGCAATCAATTATAGTATGAGATTGATATTCAATAACTTTATATTGTAATTTTTACGAGAAAGTTATAAAAAATGATAAAGTAGTTTTTATTTTTAATGAAAACCTGTATAAAAATCGAGTAGCTTGATATAAAACTTGTTGATCATGAATAAATGGTCCACAATAAATTTTCATCAGAATCAAAATATACTTTTTTAAACCCTTTTTTGCGTTGATTTCAAATTTGCAATTAGATTTTTCTCTCTAAAAATTTTCGATATTATTACTAATTGGTTAAAAAAGAGTATTAACAATTTAATGATATAAATTTTAAGCTTGCAATCTGAGCTAAAATAGTGTTTAAAAGTTCAACATTTTTAAATTATAAACTTTCATAAAAATCTACTTTATTAGATTAAAAAAATAATTTAAAAATGATATTTTAAATTAAAATATTGCACGTATTATTTTTTAATTATATTAATAATAACTTAATAAAAATTATTTTTTAATACATTTTTTCATGTATAAATACACGTTTACTGATTAATAATAATCTTAAAAAGGAGGTGATAGAATAAATTTAATTTCAGATTTAATATTCTAATAATTATTGTTATATTAAGATGAACATCATCAATAGAGAGATGTACATAATGTCTCAGATGTAACTCTCAAAACTTATAACATTTGATACAATTTTTATTCTGTTACAAATTGTTATAAAAAAATTTAAGCCTTCTTAGACTATATATAAAGCATATTTTTTATTATTTATCACTAAAAATAAAAAAAAAATAATATTTGTAAATTTTTAAAATAGATATTCTTAGCCTTATTCTTGCAAAAACTTTTGTTGAGTTGATAACAATTTTAGGACATGTTCTTATTAAATTACAATAATTTTAATAAATAACGTAGGCGTGTAGCGAACGTGGATACAGTTAGTACTGCAGAATGCACACTCTATACTATGTAAATAAATGCATTCAATTGAATGAGTATTTAGCTTAAAATTTTAATTAACCCATACATTTTTTTATATGAAAAGGACTCAAAAATAGCAATTATAAAATTTTGAAAAAAAATTAATTTTTCATTTTATTTTTATAAGTGGTAAATAATAAAACTATGCTATAAGCGTAGTCTAAGTAAGTAATAATTAAAAAAAAATCAACTAATTGATAAATGAATCAAAATTTATAAGCATGTCAGTTAGATTTAAAATGCTGTATAGATCAACGAAAATTATTTCCATTATATTTTTATATATTACAAATAAATTAATTGCACAATTAATTTTTATTTACATTAATTTTTAAACTATTTATTCATAATATAGGTACATAATTTTGATTTTATGTATTAGGATCACAGCACATAAATTAATGGCGCACTCATTTTTTGCGAGCTTTTGTGTATAACTTGGTCGAATTATCGTAGTCGTTTCCACCTAAAAATGATAACCTTTAGTATAGTTACTCAACATAATTTAAATCAATATTAAATTATTTATAATTAGTTCTTTTATAATATTACCTTTTATAAGAACAGCATAATATGCAACCAGCTATAAATGATGCTATTCCAATGAAACTAGCAATACCCAGTACAGATAATTGGATCCACGTAACAGTGGGTTTAATGTGTTTAGGAGAACATCGCTAAAATGAATAAAATATAATATAACTATAGTTTAAATGTTAACATAATAATGTTTCATAAAAATCCTATCTATCCAAAATACTTCTAGTACTGCGTAACCATTATACAGGGTGTTCAGTAAGTTAGGAAACAGTTAAATTGTTACAAACAATGAGTACAATAGAAATTCGTTTCCTTATTTACTGAACACCCTATATATTGTATATACAGAGTGTTCAGTAAATAAGGAAACGGGTTTCTATTGTCCTCATTGTTTGTAACAATTTACCTGTTTTCCTTACTTACTGAACGTCTGTATATTACAATATAATGCTGGGTGGCCTGCATAACTCATTGGGAAATGCTTTTTGTGTTAATAAGTAGGCATCGAAATTTGATTAATTTGTATTGAACTATGTATGTTTTTTTATCTTCTCCAACACAAATAAAAGCCTTTAAGAGAAGATGTTCAATATACACTTATAAAGTTATTCAGCAATAAAAACTTAGAAAATATACAAATAAGTCTACTTTCTTTATTATTATAAACTCTTTATGTACAAATTTGATTTTCCGTGACTTAAGTCGTAAGTACATAGCCCAAAGTTAAACAATTTAAAATAAAAAAAAAATAATTAAGTATAAATTAGTAACTAGAGAAAATTTTTACCTCAATTGTCTTTACATCATAATGTTTGTAAACATTTTTTAATTCATAGTTAGAAGGATCTTCTAGTAATGTTATGGTATTTTTTGTATCATAGTTATTAGGACCAACCAGTTGAAAGCATGAACCTGTACTACTAAAATCTAAGCTACCATCAACTTTTGAGTAAAATTGCGTGTCATACAAGTTTAACGTAGCTTGGGATAAACTCAAGGCTTTTTCGACGTCTTCTTTAAAACTTTGTAAGTTTTGGCCCACCACATTAGGGGGTCTTGTGAAGACAAATTTCAATAGACCGTTATCTCTAACAATATATACCTTAAAACGATATTGATATTAGTAATTATGTTAAGCTTATAAAAACTATTTCAAACAAAATACCTTGACGGTTAAATTAGAATGTCTCCCAGGCACATCACTATTTACAGCTGCAACTACGATACTGAAATGACCATCTACGAATGGAATCATTGATGTTGTAGTTCTTATTTGACCAGACAATTGATCTAAAAAGAATGGCCATGTTTTTATATTTTGTGCATTATCCATACGATAAGTAAACGTCAGATTTGTTATGTGGTACGTAATTAATTCAGCTGAACTATCAATATCTGTAGCTCGAATCGTTGCTATTACTGTATCAAGAGGAATACTCATTCGAACACCTAATAATAAATTTGATAAAATTTCAGTGATTAATTAATTTTTTATTGCTATACTTTTAAATTATACCTAGCGTTATATTAGATCGGACAAATTGAGGCAAATTGTCATCAATATCATTAATTTTTATAAATACTTGTCTTTCAGTTGCATCATGCTTATTATACGATTTTTCTAAACTATAAGCCTTATTTTTCCGTTTAAAACATTTAATTGTTAATAAATATTCTGAAACAATTTCTCTATCTACGCTTTGATTAATTCTTATCTCAGCAACATTATTTGAAGTGTTTAAGTAAAACATATTTCCCTCATTTCCATCTGTTTTAAAAACATGCTTATATATTTAAATATGAGATATAAATAACATGGTATTAAATTATACAAACCAATAATGGTATAATCAATCAGAGCATTTTCTCCGACATCTGGATCAAAAGCTTCTAAAAATCCTACAATGGTACCGGGTAAGGATTCTTCATCAATTTCCATCATGAAGGGTTTTTCCTCCTAAAATCAATGTTATATCATTTAAGATAATGTTATATATTTTCAAAGAATGGGGAGTTTTTAACATTGTCTGTAGTGATTTCAGTTAATTACCAAAATATGGAAAATTATTTGGTTAGTTTTTTTTTTAAGGCTTTAATACCAGTGAAAGCAAAATTATTGAATATTATAACTTATATTCTTAAAAAAAGGATTACTATTATAGTGATATTTCTTTCAGATAACAAATTTTGTTGAAGTGTTTTAAATTAGTAAACATTTATCCATAAATAAAAATGGTTGAAAATATTAGAAAAATAAATTTTAGGATGTTCTAAACTTGTTTTTCAGACATATTTAATTTTAAATATATTAGTGATGATTTATAATGACTTTATTAATTTATATTTTTAAGTAAGAATACTCCTCATTTTGTGTTAATATGTATATTAATATACATATATAAAAATATTATTTAATGTTTTGTTTGCACATATACTTAGAAAATTTTAAAGTTAAGTTACGTGTTTTAAAATAAAAAATTTGTTTAAAAACAATATTAATAAAAACAAAAAAAATAATATTCACATTTAATTAAACATAATTAATATTTACCACAGATCTATTAAAAACAGGTTTATTATCGTCAACGTCAGTAACAATAACGTTAAATGTTTTTATTGAATGTTGTGGTATATCACCCATATCTTTTGCCACTAATACAAGAATATATTTATCTTGAGTTTCTCGGTCTAGTATTATTTTGTTTGTTATTATGCCAGTCTGCGAATCAATTGAAAAAGCCGAAGAATCTTTAGACTCTTCCAATAAGCTATATAAGATAGTACCTTCTAAGGTAGCTGGATCATCAGGGTCTGTGGCTAATGCCTTAAAAACTATTGAACCGACTGTTGAATTCTAAATTTAATTGGTTTAACATATAAAATTATTAGTTTAAAATGTTTACATTTTTTTTATTTTAAATGTATACAAACAGTATAAATTTTACCTCAGATATATATGCAATTTCTTCTGAATTCGGATGTATAAATGAGGGAACTCCGTCATTTTCTATTATATCACTTATGTACAAACTAAGTTTCACTTCAGACGATAGTCTTGGCTCCCCATTATCTTCAGCTCTGATTTTTAAATCATACGGTTCAGAACGACCTTTTCCTGTTAATCTTTTTGTAGTTTTTATTTCCCCGTTAGTTGAATTCACATACAGAAATCCTATTAAAATCTTATTAAGTCAAAATAATATTATATCTTTAAAGTAAAAATTATCGTACCAGTAAGTTGTTGTTCATTAATAAGTTTATAATTAACTGTACCCGATGAACCTTCATCAGGATCTTGTGCAGATATATTTAAAACACTAGTATTAGGGATTACATTTTCTAACACTACGGCGATATAAGATGATGAATCAAATTTAGGAGCATTATCGTTTAAATCTTTAACGTCAATAAGTATCTAAAAGTGGATCGATATATTAAAATAATTATATGTAAATAAATGACAATAGTTTTAGTTTATAAAATCATTTACTAAAGCTGAAGATCTTTTTTGATCATTTCCTCCTTGAGGGGTGTCTAAAGCAAAAACAGTTAAATTTAAAGTTGATGTTTTTTCTCTATCAATAATTCTATTTCCAGATGTTTTTATTTGGCCACTCAATGCATCAATAGTAAACAAATTCGAATTAACTCCACCTAATTGGTATGTGATTTTTCCAAACTCTGATATTGGTAAATCTTTATCATTTGCTTTGACAGTTATTAAAACTGTACCAGTTGGACTGGATTCCATTATCGTTGCTTTATAAATCTAAATAGTATCATTATTATATTTTATACATTCCAAATTAATTAATTAATAATATTAAATATTTTGTTGCGTGAAATTTTGTGACATTTTTTAAGTAATTACTTACGGGATATTCAAACTCTGGCGCGTGGTCATTGATATCTTGAATATCTATTACTATTGTTTTAGTTGTCGATCGTTTTCCATCTTCTGTTGTTACCATTACTTGAAATGTTAAGATCTAAATTGTTTTGATAGTTAATATTATCCAATTATTGAGTCGCTAATGATGTAAGATAAACCATTGGTTGTAAAATCAATCAACTTACTGTTTCTTGAAGTGTTTCATAGTCTAATCGTTCTATTAAAATAATTTTTCCTGTATAATCAATAGCGATTTGTTTTGGTATAGGTGTAATAGATTTGAAATCATTTAGAGATGAATTAGTCAAAACATCAACTGCTTTAAGCTGCGAAAGCTCGGTACCGATCGGAGTTTCTTCGTTTATTTTAATAATCAACATAGATGTATTTTCTTTTAACCACCCAGAGTTAGTAAATATTGGATTTTTGCTGCTATACGGTTTAATGAAAAGAGTAACTTCTGTTTCAGAAAATTGTTTTTTAATATTTTCCACTGCGTTTTTATCTACAGCTCTTATTTTTAAAGTTATCACAGACGCTAATTCATAGTTTAACATAGAATTTACCTTTATTTCACCAGTGTGTTTATTTATGCTAAAAAAAAAACGTATATTTTAATATGTTTAACTTAATAAATATTCATAATGAAAAATTTTCATCTATCGCACTTGTGTTTTATACTACAATATTATTATAATATATAGATAAAATTTAAAAAAGAAAAAAACACTTAATTATTAAATAAATTTCTTACTTGAATACATTTTTAATTTCATTTAAGCTTGCATTTTTTAAAGGCAATCCAGTTTTATCATTTGCCCTAATTGGTTGGACAATTGAATATTCTACATCAGCGTCTTTATCAGGGTCGATCGCATTGACTTTCAATACTACTTGATTTATTTTCGTCGTTTCATCAATGTACACTATATTGTTCTGTGCATTACTGAATTTAGGCGGCTTATCATTCACATCTGTCACGTTAATTAACACATTAGCATTGGCTATCTCTCTGATCGGTTGTCCGCTGTCCTTTGCAATAACCACTAAATTATAGGTAGTTACATTTGTAATATCCAAATCGAGAATAGCATTTTCCGAAACAGAAATAATTCCACTTTTTGAGTCAATGTGGAAATTGTCATTACTGTTGACTAAAGTATACTCGATCTTATTATCTGATCCGTCTGGATCAGTAGCTTCAATTTTGATAACTTCAGAGTTTCTAGGTGTATTTTCCGGCACTTTAGCAGAATATTTCGTACTCTTGAAAACTGGTCTTTGATTTCCCGGAACGCCCACTTTAATATAAATATTAACATCCGTGTGAAGATGTGAATCGCCCAAATCGGTAGCTCTTACAGTTATTTCATATTGACCTCTGGGTGTATGGCTTGAACTTACTGATGAATTTAACGTTAGCTCTCCAGTAATTGAATTAATTATTAGAACGTTATCATAGTTTGAACCAACAATCGAATATCGAATCATTGAGTTTATTCCACTGTCAGAATCTGATGCCTAATTATTTTCAACGTTATAAGTTAAATATATACAATAACCAGTGGCGTAGATACGATTATTTTCTGGGGAGGGGTAGTTTATTTCATATTAAATATTTGACTAATTAATATTTAAAAATGTATTTTTTTATTTAAAATTAATTGATAATATTGTTAACATAATGTAAAAAATAATGATAAAAAATAATTTTAAATCGTACCTTTACTTTATTTATAATTAATTTTTTTTTTTTGATTCCTGGGAGGGTTTAAACTCCTTAACCCCCCTGTATCTACGCCACTGACAATAATTAATAAACATGAATTATTATATATGTACCTGAACAAAAAACTTTGGTTGAAATTCTGTAGCTCCCTCTCTAATAGTTCTTCTATATTCTAAAGAGTTAAAAATTGGTGCATTATCATTCACATCGACTACTTCAATTAAAATTACTACGTGAGATGTTCGATTTCCTCCATCTTTAGCCTCTAGAGTAAGCGAATATGAACTCTGTTGTTCGTAATCAATTTCTATAAGAAAATTTGTTTTTTTTTTCATTTCATTTTAACAGTTAATTTAAAAAATTTTAAAACAAAATTTATATTTTATATTTACAGTTATAAATAGTAACATATAAGTTCATCTAATCTAAATTAAAAATCAAACATTTATAGCTAAAATTACGTCTCATACAATTTCTTAAAACTTACTATTTATCAGATATATGCCTCCAAATTCTGAATCACTGCTAAACTTATCCATTCCAAATCCTTGTAAACTATAAGTTAAATCACCGTTAACACCACTATCTAAGTCAGTAGCAGTAAGATTAGATATTTTAGTTCCGGGTTGAAGATTTTCATTTACCGAAAATGAATAAGTCAGATTATCAAATTTAGGTAAATTGTCATTAGCGTCTAAAACTTCAATCATTATATACGCCGAAGAAGCTTCTTTGAATCCTCCCTGAAGATGCAAATTTATTATGTTAGAAAAACTTATAAAGTAGATATTGACTATTATTTACACTTGTATTATCTTGATACATTGCAACTATTTCAAATTCAACATTAGTTACTCCAGAATCATAATCAAAACCTTCGTTATCAACTAAACGTATCATAGCTGTGGTTCTACCAATAGCTGCTTCTGGAACAATTTTAAACCAATTGGATACTCTTGGGTCATTTGACTTCATAACTAAAACGTATCTTCCATTGTCTCCTAAATCTGGATCGTTAACTACAATGTTTAAGCCTGGTAAAGGTGTACCGATATCTAAACAAAAGAAAAATACATAGTACTGTGATATCTAATATTTATTAAATAACAGTAATAATTATTTTTCTTACTTATATCCTCTGATACTGATGTACTAAAAGTGTGATCATTAAATTCAGGTAATTCATCGTCAACATCTTGGATAATAACAGTTACAATTTCGTAACTCACATCACCCGATGTATTATTATCTATGAGTTCTGAAGCCTGTGAATTTATTTATTTAATAATACTTCAGAAAGACGAAAAAAGTTTAATACATTGTTTTCATTATGTTTGTTGGTAAAAATTGTACTATAAATAATGATACATTTCATATCGTTAAATGTTAAATTAAAATAAAATATTTTATTTTACTTTTAATCTAAATGTATAAATGCCTCCAGTATCAGATACCATTTTATTTTCTCTATCAATTGGATTATTAGTTGTGTATATATTTGCTGATCCGTTAGCTCTATTTTGGATTTTGAAATATCCAAGCGAATCATCTTCTATACTTATTACAACTGATCTTTTGATACCTGCATCGCCATCTTCAGCGTTTACAGTTAGTACTTGTACACCAGGAGGAGTATTTTCATTTATGATGATAGAATATGGTGAATTAATAAACACAGGTGATTCATCTTGGATGTCTTTGATAACTATAGAAATATTTGCCACAGACACCAACGAATTTTTTTTGTTGCCATCTGAAGCTTTAACACTCAATTTATAAGAAGATACACTGTCAAAATCTAACGGACGAGCTAGCCGTATTAAACCGTTATAAGTACCAGCTGAAATCTAAAAATATATTTATAATGACAAATTAAAATTTTGTATAAATATTTATTATTTTATCTTTTTTTTTTTTATTGTGTTTTATTTACTTTTTCAGTAAGGAGATTAAACGTAGTACAAGGTAGATTATTTTGTAAACATTCCAAAGACAATTCACCATTGAGTCCAATGTCTTTATCAATAACAGTTATATTTCTATAAATTATGCTTCCAATTGGTGTATTTTCAGGTATACTAAACGAATATGGTCTTCCTAAGAACTCGGGAGGATTATCATTTACATCAATCACAGTTATTTCTCTTCTCAGAGATACCGTACTTATATCAGAATTTTGTAATGGTTCATCTAATAATAACTCCATTTAAAATTTTGTAAACAATAATGAAAATAAACAAAGATTAATACCTGTTACGCTAATGACAACCTCAATGGAGTTAGATTTTTCTCGGTCCAAAGCTTTAATTAATGTTACAACGCCTGTTTCTCTATCTACGCTAAAATATTGCCCACTAATTGTGTACGTGACTTTAGAACCATCAGGATCAGCTGCCAAAAGTTTGTAAACTGATTTACCAACTGGAGTATCTTCTGTTATTGTAAATCGAGCCATATCTCCACCCGGAAGAAATTGAGGTAGTTGATTTGTTAGCGCACATTTTGATAATCCAAAATAAATTAATAGTAATAAAAAAACCAATTTGTTCGCCATCTAAAAATATAATGTATCATAGCTAAGTGTCCTTAAACTCTTTTGTATGTGTATTAATTTTTTTCTATGATATATTTTTTTCTTAATCATAGAGAGGTTTTACTTTAGTGAATATAAATTTCATAAGAATGAACCAATATTAGATTATGTTACTAAATCATAATTTTATGCAGAATGATTCATTAAGGATAAGGAAAATTACTTAAAGGAAATCATTGTTTCGTTCAAAAACTCAAATAAAATAAAACTTTAGGTTTTCATCCTTTAACGAATAAAAAAATATTATTTAAATACATATTATTATAATGATTATTCAATCGAACAATATTTTTCTTTGTGATATATTAAAATGTTTGATAGTTTCTAAGATAATTAGTGTCTTATCCTTGAATCACTTTGTATACAATAGTCTTTAAATTATATGTTCATTATATTTTATTCACAAATAAAAAGACCAAAGGTTAAAAATAAAATGAATGTCATTATTTAGGACTAAAAAAACATTTAAATCTTCATTTCGATTATTAAAACCACCTTGCACAATTTTAACGATATTTGAACAGTCACTCGTATGTTGTTTTATGTAATTATTACACTGATAATAAAACATGTTAAATTTCTATTAAAATACTGTTTTGTTTTAAACTTATAAATCTAGAAAAAATCAACAATAATAATATTAATGATGAATTATGTAACTTAATGAAATCCCATTAATTATTAATAACGTCTAATGGATTATGATTCTTCATTTTTTTGTTTTAATAAGTTTAGTGATATTGAAATAATCTAAGATTTATTAATTTGTTTTTAAAATTAGATAATGAATTTTAACTATTCATAATTAATAGCTAAGATACTGTGTAAAAGATAAAATATAATTTCTTGAAAATTTTAAAATGAAACGTGATAGCAAAATGGATACCTACATGTGGTGATAATTAATATAAAATTATAATTTTAAATAATTAATTGAAACTTTTAAATTCATACTTGGTGAAATCACAGCACAGCTTAAAAAAATCATTCACAAAGGATTTGGCTCTTAACCGGTATTTGAAACACTACACAATAACATGACACAACCGAGACGCACACCAAATCCACGTCACATGATGAATTCGACCTAAGGAATCCAGGTAGACTGAGCTATTGAGGGGTCACTCAGCCGGCGGAAGACGATGTAGGTATCTTGGGAACTGGTATCTTTGAACACGTTCAACGATGCAGCCAACTGCGTTTTGACCACAAACGAATTAGATATGCGCCACTAGGTGGCATGGAATGAAACTACAATATAATTACTACTATAATAAATAGACATGTTCACAGAAAATCGTAACTTTATTTCAATTACAATTTGTTTTTAAATAAAATAAATTATACATTACAATACTAATTTTAAAATACAATTTCTTAAACTATGTTTAGTTAATACTTGTATTATATATTTATTATATTATGATAAACGTAAAAGTATTACAGTTAATTCACAAAAAAAAAACCTGGAATTAAAATCAATTAAGAGGAATTTACTGTAAATTAGTACAAAACACTAAATAAAATTTTAAAAAGTTTATAGTAAAACATTTAAATTTTATATAATGTTATTATTAACGAATATGTAATCTTTAGCTGAAAATTACGACAGTAGGGAAAACCGGTTTGTAAAGAAAATGTTTAACTCTTTGTACGATTCACGATTGTATAAATAAAATGGGTCAATTGTATACGGTTTAATGATCGAGGCAATTAATCTTTAATAATTAAATAGCTTAAAGTTCATTAGTTTTATAAAATTTCTTAAAATTAAAAATTTTATATCTTATATCAAGTTGAGCTATTTCATTTTAACAGATTGTAAGTCTTTACAAAATATTTCATGATGCACACAAACACTTTTTTTATTAATTCATTTGTTTTTTTATGCAATTTGTTCAAAATTGATTAATTTTGTAGTGTTAGCCTTAAATGTCAAAATAAAGTTTTTTAGTTCAAATGTTTTTTGCTAGTCTTCCCTCAATTGAAAAATCGTGAGTACGCCACTGCCGTCATGTATAGTTTATAATATACTTTATAATTTGAAGTTTGTACACTATATAAAGTATATAAAGTAACATTAGAAATTGATATAATGTATCAACTGATCTAAAATTACTTGAGGGTTACTTACACTGCACAGTCGGTGGCAAACAAAAATAAAAAACGTGATACTAATTTTATTTTAAAATTAGGTCAGATACGACAATAGTGGATAAATGGAAATCAATAGTTCTAAAAACTGTTAGACGTCAATATGTACAACTAAAATGGTACAGAACAATACCAGACTTTCTATTTTAAAGTAGTTATAGTAAAAATAATATTAACATCCAATTATTTTCATTGTAAACTTTAAATAAGTTCACGACTCAAATTATAAAATAATGATATACAGAATATTTGATTTATCGTTTTCAACAAGAATTATTTTAAGCTACTAATAATTTTAAGGATTTTTTCTTGGCTTATTTATGTAGCATTTATTTCTCGATTTATAAGTGGTTTAATATTTTTAAAGTCTTTTTCTCATATTTTATAAAAGTATAAATTTATTAATTTTAATAGCATCAAATACATTTTACTAGCATACATTTTAAAAAATTGTCTGACTAAGAAGATAACTGGTCAAAAAAACTATTGAACGAGTATTTTGGAAGATATTAACAATTTTGTATCCGAGTAAGAGAATGAATATGATAAAGGAGTGTGACATTTAATGATAAAAATTAAATAACCCTCATTTCGTTGTCAAGAATTAATGTTAATAACTTTTGAAATTCATGTTCAAAAAATAAGTAACACTTATCGAAATAAAAAAAAAAAAATATAAATAATATTATTAATATTTATGGTGAAAATTAGTAGTCAATGATAAATTAATCATCCTGTATAAAACAAATTACTTTAGATCTAAAAAAATAATATTCGAATAATAAATCATGAAGTATTATTACAAAAAGTATATTCCTTAGAGTCCTGTAAAAATGTAATTAGGTATCATCTCGAAAGTGTGATTTCAGTACAATTAAAATGTTTAGGTCAATTAAATTCGTGTTTTTTACAATAAAATTTAAATGATGTATCAATCAATATAGGTTAAGAAATATTTTATAATGAAGGCTAAGATATACATTATCATAAATAAAAAAATTAATAAAAATATTCTAAAAAAATAGGCATAAGTTTAGAAATGTATATTAAATCTTAATTTAATTTAAAAGAAAAATATATTTAAAATACATGTTGTTAAAATTATTTAGTTAAACATATTATTATCAAAATGTTTTTAGATATTATATAATTATAAAACAAAAAAATAATAAATTGATATAGTTGATGTATTTCTTTATAAACAATAAAATCATATTTTTGTGATTATTTGATTTACTAAGAATGGCTTCATATCTAATTACTAGTTACTAATATAGTTTGTTTATATGATCTATAAATGTAATACATCACAAACTATAATATCTTAACTATATTATCCATAGATATATTGAACCTGTGGATATTTCTTATTTTTAAATGATTACTGTTAAATAGTCCCTGGTAACTAAAAAAATTAATATCATACATAAATTTTTATTGTAAAATAGCATACGAAACCTCAGTGTCTAGTTACCTTATCAATTTTGTATGTAATAACTAATTATATTACGATGCTATATAACAAATCATGAGATTTGAATGGTTACTCGACTTTAAAGCGAAAAATAAGTTTATCGCATAAATTTTTGTTTGGATAAATTAGGTGAATTCACATTGCCGTGAAATAATTTATGTGATAAATTTGATATTTCATGATGAAAATCAGAAAAATTAAATAGATTTACCTGTTAAAAACTTGGCGAATGAATTCACCAATGATGTTACCCAATGTTTGATTAAATACAATCTAAATCTACTGTATACACTTTACATTTGAAATAGAAGAGTTGACTGAAGTTCTTTTTTATTAATTATAATTTTAGGAAAATCTACAATACACCTAATTATATCTGTTTAGTTAATTATTTTATCTTCGTTTATCATATTTATGATTCACTCTTATTATTGTTATAAGAAAAACACAAATGAGTCACAGTCCAGCGGTTTTGAGTAGTATCGGGATAGTCATACCGTGCAGCTGCGACGACTTTTGATTTTAAATCATATTATTCAAAAAATTGTTCTTGGTTCATTGCAAAAGCTAAATGATGTGTCAAAACAGTGATATTTTTTTTAAGTACTCACAATCTAATAATTTATTGATTAGTAACATATATCAATAAATAGACTACTTCCATTGTTCCTATTGTAATTGATAACATTAAGTAATTTATACATTATACAGGAGCACCATATAATTGGGAAAAAAGTAACCGAACAAAACAAAGTAATGTTTGTGATGTTCAAAATAAAATTCAACCGTTACTATAAATACCTTAAAATATAATTTTAGCTTCGATGCGAAGCTAAGAAGGTATTGGTTTTACTATGATGTGTTTTTTTTTTTTTTATGTATGTTACTACATTTTCTTAGCTCTCATCGAACCGATTTCTTTAAATGATACGTCAAAAGATCACAAATCTAATCTAGTCGAAGACATTACCCTTAAAAATTGAAAAAATTTCCCTCGTTCCTGTAAATGGGGGAAACCATCAAAAAAATTACAAATTTAAAAATTGCTTATTTTCGAATTTTTTTCAATTTTTTTTACTTAAAATTGCCATAACTTTTTTAAAAATAATCAAATAAATATAATTTTTTTTATATAAATGCATGGTATCATTACCTTTCATTTGGTATATTTTTTTTATAAATCTGATCCTTTACCTGACCACAGGGAGGGATTTAAAATGAAAACTTTTTTACAAAAAAATTAATTTTTCAACTTGACTTTTGAAAATGTTCCGGAAAGTCTGACACTTTTATACGTATCTTAAATTAAACTTAATGTAATGTTTTTTATTATGGAAAAAAAAAATTCGGATTTTAATTTATCTTTATGGTGAAAAAAGACATCAAAATTAATATAAAAAAATATGATTTTTATAAAAAAATTTTTTTTTACATTTTTAACTTTATAATGCTGTAAATTATTGAAAAGTCTATCAACACAATTTTTTTATGGGAAATAATATTTTTTAATAATCCTTCTTTCATTCGACATACTTTATCTTAATCAGGATATTAATAAGGAACTAGCAGATCATGTAGATTTTGGAATAATCTACCATTTTTTTTAAAATTAAACACTATCTAAGGATTTGCATTGAACCTTTTTTTTTTTATAGTGATTTTAATCACTGTCAGATATCATTATACTTGATCCAACTATGCTTCGTCACCACTGCGCTGGGTTTTTTTTTAAGCAACTTCAAACCTAGTTTTATAAAATAATTAACAACAATTAATTCGTAATTAATGTATACAATGTATATATACTTAAAAAAATATTCGGAAATCATTATTTTGCTCAGTTCTATAATCAGTTATACTGTTACAATCTACTCAACAATAGTTATTGTTAATTGTTTTTAGATATCAATAATTCCATCTAGTTCAGCCTGAATGCTTTAGTGCTTTATTCAATTCATTGAAGCAAAGCTTATTAGAAACATTGACATTATACGGAAACAGATTTCAGCTAATACGTTTAAAATTACACTGACCTACATAAGCTTTTAAATAATTACCGTAAAAAAATCTGCTTCAATAAAATGTCAGTGAACCAGAGAGTTAATAATCCAAGCTTCCTTTGTAATTTCCATGAAACATTAGTTACATACACCTGAATAAAGAATTACATTGCATACGATGTAACAACTATTGAAAAAATAATGATCACACAGATTTCAATTTCTTACTTGTCACATTTAGTCATTATCAAATAATTAAACATTACTATGATTTTTGAAAAATAAACTTCTTAAAATCTTTTTTTCTATTATTCTTTTCTAAATAGAACATATTAATACTAACAAGTTTTTATTAAAGAGTGTTTAATGTTCCTGAGAGAGATATCTAAAGAATAAAAAACAAATATGATGATTTTCATAAAAGCTTAGTCAATGTTATAATAAAAAGATTTGCACGCATAGATTGATACTCTTTTTTTATCTAATTATGACTAAGTAAAAAATGTTTAGATATGATGAAGTGTAAATGTATTTTAATCCACACATTTGAATAAAACTAAACAAATAAATAATATGATAGATAAAGTGAAATTTAATTTACAATGACTTTAAAAAATACTACAACTTTTACTTGTTTTCTCAATACCGGAGATACATTTCAACGATACATATACTTTTTGTAGGTTTTTAGGATGATCATAAAATAAATTTGAATTATGTATATACTAACGTAAGTGTTATTTTTATTTTTATAACATACAATGAAAATATACAAAGTGTTCAGTAAGTAAAGAAACAGGTTATGTGTTACAAACAATAACAATAATAGAAACTTATTTCATTACTTATTGAACACCCTATATACCTTACAATAAAATATATAATAAAAAATATCCAAAAACACTTATTATATTATTATTGATAAAATTCTCATTCCGTCAATATTTGAGATACGCACTGTTGGAGTATAAGCAAAATATATTCTATTCATACATACAAAATTTGGTAGGAAAAATTAATATAATCTATTTTACCTTTTGAAAATTCGGAGTATGAAATTTAAAATTTCCAAGTGGTTTTTTACATATTTATTAAAGATAACGTACTTCCATTTACATTCAATGCACGCATAATCCATACTCGATTTAACTTTGTTATCGCTTTTAACACTCTTAAACTCTAACAATACAGTCAGTTTGAATAGAAATACTATACAAAACATCATACAAAACGGTCTAAATCCCTGACACACTAATATTTTAATGCTTAAGTATAAAAAATCTATAGCGTAATATATTTATTGTGATCATTCGAGTTTCGACGTCGGTGAAAGTAAAATGATAAATTGTAAATATTATTATGCACACTATTGTAATAAGTACAGTATAAAATATACGACAGTTATAATTAGTATATTACCAATAAAATTTTTGCTTTGATTATTATAGTTAAAAACAAAATGCTTTTCAGTAATACGCATGCATTATTATTTCATGATTACGTTAATTAATGCAAGACTTGTCATATGAGAAAAACCTATACATGCATATTATATAATAATGCATGTTAGATTAACGTTAGTTTTATTATTATACATTTATTAGCACAGTTGAAGTAAGTTATCCATTATTTGAAATCAAAGTATAACCTTACAACAGATTTTGTTTAGAAAATGTATTTCATCAAACTATTGCGAGTGTAAATTTAAGGTAAAGTCGCAATTAATTATTTTATGTGTTATTGCAATATATTTTTAAAGCTCAAAAATTTTTTTTGTATAATGACGCAGAACACTTATAAAAAAAATCTGTACTTAAGCTGTTATTGGATAGTCTGAGTTAAAGTCACAGCCGAATGGCTTTTAAAGGGCGACCAGCGTCAAAGCTATTAACGAATATTATTGTTTGTACAATGCTCATGCTTAAAATCAGTGTTATATCGTTACCGGGGTAGGAATTGACAGGTGCTGTTACGTTCAACGATCTGGAACGCCCTTTTTTCATTTTTTATACATAATGTGTCGCATAAACCATATACGAATAATCGGTAAAAGTTAAGGATGTTGAATTTAAGCACAGCTATTGTTTGTCTTCGAATATATCATTCATTTTTCAATCAACCCGCATAATATTTTTGGCAACTGTTCACTAAGTGTGATAAAGAAAATACTCGTAAAGTAATCCCAACTACTTAAAAATTGGCTATTCATTGATTAACAGAAATTTAGTTATTATTATCACTCATTAATTTTCTATACATTAGTATCAAACCTCAGCATAGAAAACAGATTGAACTATATTAAGATGTACAAAACTCAGTAGTATAATTACTAATTATTTTGTCCCATGTATTACAAATCCTAAGGGTTCTATAAATATATTAGCAATAAATATTTGAGTTTTTTTTTAACTGATTATTACCATGTCTCGGTTGCTCAGGGAATATTTTATAAAAAAAAAACTTTATATTTCTTTAAAGCTATTTAAATGTAGAATAAGTATAAATAAAGTAAGTATTTTAAATAAAATCTGTATCACAAAAGTGGATGTAGAAATAATCCTTAGATATATTTACTGTTTTATAAAAGTTAATTTTAAATTACTTTTCTTTTTACCTACTCTTATGACACTAGTGTTAGATGGATCAATACCAAAAAAGTAATGCAAACTAAGTGCAGTTCTTTAGAACTCGTTAAATTAAATTTCAAAAAAGAAAAATATTAGTATTATGTACTTTTTTATGTACAATTTTATACAAACAAAAGTTTTTTTGTACAACACTCTTTATTCACATTATGTAATATTGTTCATAAAATGAATAAATTAAAAAATTTTAATCAACATTGCACCAAGTTTTATTTTCTAACGAACTTTATCTCAGAAATTGAATAATTCATTGAATGATTTGTCTAAATCAAAATTCATCTCTTACAATTCATTTATTTATTACATATTCATCTCATTAACCTACATTGTATAGCAGACATTTTTATGTAGTTATATTACATGGATATAGTCTGGTTGAAACTAAATGTTTAAATTTATTAGTTTTCTATGCTGAGAAGTAGACGAGCTTATAACCATTGTGTTTTTTTAATTTATTTTGATAATAATAATAAAAAAAATTAAACTCACGGAATTAACCATTTCTTGTAATACAAAGTAAAATTATTATTCTCTTTTTATTATTTTTCAAACAAAAAGAAATGTGAAATATATGGATATTATTTTTTATTGATATTATTTTATTTCAAGTGAAGTTAGATTAATACACACTCACACACATATTTTTTTATACGCAATAAAAAAAATGTTAACATTTAAATGTCACAAATTATGTTGTAGGTACAATGAGATCGTGACTTGTTTATGTGACTTTACGATATCAATGTATGTTACTCACAAAAGAAAGTTGAGAGATAATCTTAGTCTTTCATTTAGTAATAGTTGCTGAAAACATCACTAGCCTACTAAACGCGCGTGAAACAAAAACAATTATGAATATATTTTCCGAGCAGTGTTTCATATGTCTCATATTAAATCGTGTGAAAAATTGCGTAACATTAATTCTTTGTGTCTAACTAAAAATTAAGAGCTTAAAAATAAGTAGGTACTTATTTATTATCAAGCATTAGTTTAGTCTAATTGTGTGAAATAATTTGAATGTATATGTTTGCTCTTGTCAAACAAATCAATGATTGACATACTTTATAATGATTTTTGTCTGAATGAGTACTTTTTTGCATAACTTACTGATCAATCTGTTTCAGACTCAAATTATTACACTGTGTTTTAACATATAAAGCCTTTGTTATGTACAGATGATGACTAGTTATTATTTGTTAAAGGTAATAATAAATAAAATATACATTATTAATGGTAAAATTAATGAATCATTGTCATTTGATTTAATTCTATACTTTTAACCCATTCATTTGTACATTAATAGCATAACGATAAGCTATACGAATGTGACTTTTATACAGCGTTTAATTACCATGCAAATAACAATATCCAGACTGACAGTTGGCAAAACATAAACACAGGCGAATGACCGGTAGTATGGTCAACGTTTTAAGTTATGCTTAAGTAAGAAGCCTACCGTTCTCTAGTAATCATGATGTTTCCTTTATAATAAGTTAATAGAATGCTATACGATAATTGAGTGCCCGTCAGAGAATCCCTCGTGTTTAAATTAACATTCAAAAATTCAGTTAATCCGTTCAATAAGCAAACAAACAAATTTTATAATACAGCTTGTAATGCGGCGTCTAAGCGTTAATGGATGGCCGGGTGCATATAACTGTATACATTGTTACAGAATTCAAGTTTTGAAACGAACAAAAAAATAGAGAGAGTATAGACTTTGAATAGGGAGTGATCTTTAAAATAAAACCCCCGAAGGGCCCAGTTAATAATTTACCAACCCTTTTCTTTTCAATGCAACCCGTTTTGTTCCGGTTGTTCGTGATCCCCCAACATCCATGTACTAACAATGCGGATACAGAAAGTCTTTTTTTTTTGTTTTGTTTTTTTTTAACCCGCACCCATCTGAGCACTGTCAGTATATAATACATACAGAAACGTTGATGAAACTTTAAAACACTAAACATGGTAACACCGCAAATCGGATTAGACCTGAAAATAACATTAAACATACAAGCATACGAACAAGACTTAATGGATGTATGTTTGTTTATTATATATTGGTAATCCACTCATTATAAAAATTTCTCGACTTAAAAAAGCAATCGCGGACGACTATCCATTGACTGTTACTCGTGTGATTTTTTTTTTTTTTACTATTCACATCAATAGAATACTGTTCAACGATTTATAGTCATCCGGAATACATTTCAATAATATATTAATAGTATCATAACATGGGCTGTCGAGCTTAACATATCTGTGTATATTGTAAGTAATTATCACTATCTTAATTGCATTGTGTATGGTTGGTTGATTGTCGTCACGGTTGTATTTTTTGCTAAGGCAAAATGAAACGAAGTAAATAATATATCAAAACACCGACATTCCGCACATCACAATTCTATCAGATAAAAACTCTTAGTCAGGATTAAAAAAATATTTATTCTATACTTGACTGCTACCAAGCTGGCGAGAATATCAATTTTTCGTTTGTTCAAGATGTGTACAGTTTTTGTTAAATTATAAAAAAAAAAAAAACACTTTTTTTGCTCGTATATGATTATGAATTTACACACTCTCATAATAATAGTTTCATCTTGGCAGGGAACATAAACGATTCCGATATCGTACTTAATGTTCTGCTCTAATTTTTACTACATGCGTTTACAATAACAATAATTTTCAATTTGTCTCGGATACTATGGACATCAATTGATTCACTATTTACTTAAGCCAAAAATTGCTCGAAAAAATAAAGAATGGTAATAAAACATCATGTTTTTGATAACCCTTTTTTTTCAATTGTAACTATTAACTATGTTTACTATGTGCATCTGCTATGATGTATATTCTTACAAACTTTGACAGTATATTTTATAGTTCGAGACGAATTTTATAAAAAAAAAAAAAATCCGTAAAATCGCTGATTTGCAAGAATAAAAACAGTTCAAACTCAACCCCCACACATGTATGCATACGTCATAATGCAGTATATTAGGGTGCAGTTGCACTTGTCCAATGGTAAATCGGCGGATCCGCCCACCCTATTATGAGTCCCGAGGGTGCGATGAACCACTGTATAGGCTGTTACTCAATCAGTCTCTTGGCGACCATGGATCCAAAGAGTTTGTACGGTCTTGACGGTTCTGACTCAGGTTTCGAAATGAGCTTCGATTCAGAAACCGAAGCAACGTTTTCGTTCGACGATTGTACGTTAGGCTCAGAAGAATTTGCTTCATCTGTGAGTGTAGTTGAAGAAGATTTACAAGTGAAACCTAGAAAACGTAGACAGAGAAGAACTAGAGAAAGAAGTCCAACACAGGTATTATAATATTGTTATTTATATATTTTCTTGTAAAAATAATTTGGAAATTTTCATTTTATTTCTGGTAGATCATTAAAATAAAGAAACATCGTCGCATGAAGGCCAATGATAGAGAAAGGAACCGTATGCACATGTTAAATGAAGCACTTGACAGGCTCCGATGCGTACTACCCACGTACCCTGATGATGCAAAACTAACAAAAATAGAAACTTTGAGATTTGCACACAATTATATCTATGCACTATCACACACATTACAAGTCGTGGAATCAACCGACCGACCACTTCTTGAACAAAACGAGCCACTAACTCTTACTATGGGTGACGTGACCGTCAGTATCGGTCAAAATGGCAATACAGTAAATAAATCTTAATCAATTTAATAAATTAATTTTATGAAATTAAAATAGAAAATTAGGCATAATTTATTATAAAAGATTAAATATTTAAATTGTTGTATTCTTTTATAAATATTTAACTTTTAAAAAATACTATATAAGTTGGTTTGATTATTATATTAATTTGGTCATAAATTTATTGATAAATAAAACCAACGTGTCTAGTATAAGTTTTACTTATAGTTCATTATTATTTTAGATCACTTCGTCCACTGGAACTTGTGCTCTAGCACAGCAAAAGAAACCATGTATGATGAGTGAACCACTGGCGACTTCAACGCCGGTCAAAAAAACTATCGGCCCCTTAAATCAATATGCCAACGACTCGGGATATTTTGAACAACAAAGCTTCACTAATAGCCATTCCGTCGGCTACACCAATGAAAATTACCAGATAGAAAGATGGACTCCAAAACCTTGCGACTTTCAACTACCAAACAAATACTCGCAATCGTACCACGAATATCAAAATACGTGGTCGCAAGACACTGTTTGGCAGAGTTCGATATACGCCGATCAGAGGTATCACGAACCAATGATTTTTTATTCTTGAAAATCCATAAGACTGCTACTAATATTACGTTAATTCTTAATTTTATTCTTACCATACTTGGCGGGTAACTACAACGACACTATCTTTTTTCATATCTTAAACGTGCCATTTTAAACAAAACCAAATTAAGTATTCATCCGATATTAGTTTACTTTGTTAACATATTTTCACTTTCTAGTCGTTTAATAATACTGTTTTATATCGATGAATAGTTCTTGTGTAACTGTAGCCAAACTTGTTTAACTTGTATTAATTATTGTTTATTTTTGTAAAGACTTGTTGTGATTTATTTTTTAAATAAATAAAGATGAAATATATATATTTAAAAATATATTTTTTTTTATATTTTAAATAAATCCTTGCTTTATATTTTTACTACTTAAGCCAATTGTAAATCTAGCAGTAAATTAAAGAAAAAAAAATCCATACTAATCTTGCGGTAGTAAAATTTTAGAGCGAAGGCCCATAATTTTCCACAGCAACGCCTTTGAAATTGTAATCCGTTAAAAGCCGATTATAACCAGCTCAATAGTGGGTTTGTATACCCCCTGTGAAGAAGTTGTTATTGTGTGTAAAACGTTTTAAGTTAGGCAAATAACTGATATTAATACAGGAAAATCATAGTAGTTGGTAACTTACAATATTCTATATTAATATTTATTAATGTTGAACAGAAAAAAACATGTATACTTTTTGAGTTAACTATTATCAAATCAAAATAAATGATGAAAAAATCTTAAAAACTATGGAAATTTTTAGTTCATTTTTATTTTACTAATAAATAAATCAAATAATTTGTAAGCGAGACCGTAACTAGCAAGTCCGGGATTTTTTCTAAAAGCAAAAATATTGAATTTGCTACATCATTACACTCAAAATAATTTTCAATAGACAAACGTTTTTTTAATTCAATTTGTTACACTTAAAATATCAAACACATAAATAAATGACTTGAACTTATTGGTTACTAAGTAAAGTTGGATAAATAATTTTTAAAATCATGGAGGAGTTTTTTTTTACCAATTTAAAAATTCAATATTTATTTCCTATTTCTTTTTTTTTTTTATTATAAAGTACAACTTTAGCTGCAATGATCGAGATAGTTACAATTAAAATGTTTATTATTATTATACAGTTAGATTACAATTCAAATTTTATCGTTAAGTTTTTCTTAGGAATCTAATTATTATTCTATTTTTTCCGGGTTTGTCCTTAATGTTGTATTCATTCTCATGTTCTTCTGTGTATCTTCGGTATTCAATGAGTATATGTTAACTATTATTCTTACTTCGCACGTTTCGTACATAGGAGGGTCTTTCTTTTCCATCATGTGACTATGAGTTAGTTTCGTATGTCCTATTCTTAGACTCTGTATTATCGTGTTGTCTCTTCAAGAGGATTCTATGTTCTTCCAATTAGTAATTGTGTTATTAAATTAATTGAGATTGGTTTCTTGTTTTTTTCACCGGTTTAACCATATATTGTCCATTTTATCTTTTATTTCTTATCTCTCTATTTCAATACAAAATAATTTGATACAATTTTTTATAAATTAGTGATTTTCTTTTCAATTCAATAACAACAATTAATATTTTTAAACAATATAAAAATGTATTGAACTTCGTAGTCAAAATATATATTCGTGGTTTTATATAATAACTATTTTTGTTGTTTCAAGATATCAGTGTATTTAATATTTTTTAATTCTAAGTAATATTAGCAATAGTTTGATATTAGACTTTATTCTAAAAATTTTTAAATATTTTACTATATTTAAGCATACAACTAAAATACTTACTATCTTAAGTTACAATTTGTAACTCATTTTCTTTTGACAACATTTATGAGTACAACATACAACACCTATAATTTCGTTCTTTAATTATTAATTATACTATAAAAAAGATTATAAAAACTTTGTTAATTAAAGTTATATTTCTAATTGAATCTTGTATGACATATCGTATTAAATAAAAATATTTGAATGTGTTAAGGCTTTTATGGATAGCTATGTTGTTTTCGCATAAATTATGTTTTTAATGTGGTTTAAAATCAAAAACCTAATAACTTAAAAGCAACAATAACAATTTAAATACATTAAATAACTTAATGTGTAAAAAAAAACTATAATTAACATATCAGGAAATTACCAAATTAAATGAAGAACTATATGCTAAAAATTCGGTTTGGTGAAAAAACAAAATGATAGTTGTTATCAACATTAACACGATAAAAACAACAATAGATAATAAATATCGACGTTATTAATTATCAGCATATATAAAAATAAACTGTAAATGAGTCAAGTCAACAGTATAGTTGTAACCCTAAATCTATGACTATCGCTCTATAGATGAATTTTGTTACGAGTCCAAACCATAAGCACAAAACTAAAGACATGGATATATTAATAACTTTTATCAGAAAATTCAACTGTTTAAAATTATATTTATATTATGAACATCTAATTATTGATTTTTTTGTTAAAATAGTATTTTCTATTTGTTTTTTGAACAATTATTAGATTAGTAACCAAAGCTTTATAAAGATCCTAAACAATTTATCAGCTTAGAAGTCTTAAATTTTGTTTTAGTATTTTACATAATAATAATCAAAATGTCGTTTTAGAACATCATTATTAGGTTGTGCCAATATTTTAGAGCTTTACTGTATGTTATGTTATACAAAATTATATTAAATAACAATAATTATTTTTACTTATTATATAAATAAAATTATATTATTGTTTTTTCATAGCTTTCTTGTATTTAGTTATGTTTTTTCATTTCAAAAAATTGACTTAACATTTTGAAACTATTTACTACTAAATACTGTGGGTGATGATTAAGAAATTTAATTTAAAAAATAAGTAAAATAATTTACTTTAAAATATATATAATTAAAATTTTTGAATTTGTTAATAAATAAAATTTAATCATGTGTCAAGTAATCTATTCTAATTTTTTGGTTTATTTATACTATACCATTACGAATTCTTTAACTCGATACAATTTTAATGGTAAACGAACACTTGGTGTATTCTTACGCACGTGCTTTATTCAATACAAGGAAATGCATTAAATAAACAACATGAACACGAGGAGGATATTATAATGTTGTAGATATCACGTTTATCTGTTAAAAAATCTTCCGGTAAACATACGATCGCCGTTAAAATAATCTGCTTTAAGTCTTTTATGTAAGATGGCACACAATAACCGGATTGAAATCGGAAACTGAGAAAAGAACATAGATGTATTATTGTCATTTCTTTTGTAGGCCGAAGTCGAGTGTGTGTTTGTTTGCAAACATATTATCATTGCCTGGCGTTCAATTCGCCGGCTGCCGTTCGCTGTCACTAAACGACACGTACCATTACAACTGTTCAGGTAAAGACCGATTGTCAATATACTTTGCCGGTTTTGTTAATATAAATCTGATTTGGTATGATACGTTCAATGTTAACTCTAGTGCAAAAATAATAATACGATATGGGAGCAAAACCGCATAATATGATATCGCATCTCAAGAGTGATGTACTATACCGTCACGGCCGATTGAATTTGGTTCATAGCGTAAACCTTCTGCAGCAATAAAGGAAGGAAAAGAGTATTTTAAAAGTGTTTTCAAATGTTTCAGTACTGTTTCCACTCTTAAGCCAGATGCGTACATTGTTTCGTTTTTGGATAACTATAGATGGCCAAACGTATAATATTTAGCTGATTGTGTAACATTTACCTGAATCCGCATCCTCTTTCTAAAACGGCTGCGAACTCTTCGCCAAGTGCATTATATTTGCAGTGTTTTCCTCCACTCGATCTTTATGAAAGCCGTCTGATGTACATCCTCTTTATTCAGAATACACAAGTACGCTCACAAAGTTGTGTATGGCGTTCTCGGGGTTTTATGGATATTAGACCATTGAGAATAACATTTCCAGTTCCAGGGTCAATTATCGTTGTTGTTGTTGTTACTTCTTCCTATTTCAAAATTTAATCGATCAAAAACTTGCATAATACTACCAATTCATACATATTGAAGGATTAGGGTACACAAAAATAATAAAAATATTTTCAGTTGAAATTAATAATGAAAAATTATTATATAATATGTTAAAAACCTTAGTTAACTAGTATAATATTCCTATGCGAAAATATGTATATAAAAAACAATATTTTATCAAAACAATATTAGTTTAATGAAATATTAATAACTAATATTTTTAACCTTTACAGTTTTTACAACTTAAAATTCTAGATGGCGAAAATAAATTCCTTTTAAAGTAATTAGTATTGTTGGAAATAATCAATGAGTTCTGCCTTATATAAAACTTTTGTATACTTAAATAAATTGTTTTACTTAAGTAAATACGAGTGAAATGAAACAATCGATATACAAGGCTTGTAGATAAATATTGGGTTTGCAGAATCAAAGAGGGTGAAAATGAATAGCGATGTGCCGATGACGTTTATTTTCACTGTTTTTCATTATTCATTGCGGGTTACCACAAGACCAGTCAAGAGCCAAATTTTCAATGACATTAAATGGAAACATCTGTCCCTTCAGTTTACCCTACATAACATTTAAACGTGAATCTACTTATTTATTAGTCTAGATATATTAAGACGTATACCTGTTCACATAAATAATTGTTCATGAGAATGCACGGACGCATATAGAAAAACAAACATTGTTCAATGGGTGATTAGTATGAAGTTGGATTTTCGTCATAGATTTTATACCCATCGTCTTTCTGTACCCAATTGAAGAGCATTGTCAAATGTTTTTTATCTCTAATGTATATCATATATTTTGACGGTCAATACAAGGGCGAAAATAGTTAATTGCCGTTAGCTATCGGCTTTTAGCCAACAGTTGGTGGAGTGCCTTGGGGGACTCCTACACTAACAATGGGTGGTCTGCTCTGTATATGAAATTCGTTGTTGTGTTTCGTAGATTTTGCTGGTGGTGGCAGAGAGTAACGTTGTAAAGTCTAGGGGAACACACCACTTGAAACGAAACCGTTCCGGGGCGCTGGTTTTGAATAATAATCGCGCGGTGGCTGGCGCAGTGTTTTGCCTGGAGGGCGAAATCGGTTTTTCGAAAAGCGAAATGAATTGAAAGCACAGATACGGAATAGAGAGGACAATAAATCCGTAAAATTTTAAACAGCAGGTGTCCACACAACGGTGGTAATTGTTATTCCATTGTGTCAAGGTGTCCGGTGTCTGATTAGTTGTTGGCACGCGACATTACCGTCAAAGTGGGCTTTTCATTACATTTTAATTACTTTAAAATAACGCACACGAATTATGTTGA